TTTTCCCCTCTTTTTTTCACGCCACGAAACCGCGTTCGTCGCGAGACAGCTTTCAGTTGGATTATTCAATTGACTTTTTCAAAACGTATATCGATACGCAGCGGTTTTACGCCGGCCACAAGTTGGATTTCAAACATCAAAGTTGTGCCGGCGGCCCTGGTTCCGGTGGTGGTAGTGGTGGCGCTGCTGGAGGAGTTGTCGTCGGCGGCAATACCAACTCAGCCACCCAACATCAGCAATTAGTAATCAGCAGCGGCAACAGCGCAAGCAACGGCAGTAGTAACAGTTCGGCCCTGTCGCTGACTCACAACCACCCGCACGTCCACAGCAATCACGCCCACACTCACGGACAATCCCTAGCGATCACACACGGACATCACGCCCTGTTGCCGTCGGTATCCGTTTCGGTTCCCCAGCAACAACAGTCGCAACAGCTACCGACAGGATTGGGAGCCGCAGCACCCCTGCTGCAGCATCAGCAGCAGCATAGTCAACAACAGCTGATCAACAGCGGAGTCTCCGTTGGACCGACTCTGTTGATCGGCAACGGACCGAGCTCATCCGGAACGGGATCAGGATCAGCCGCAGTCGCCTCGATACCACAAGTGGCGCCACACAGCCTTGGTCTCAGTCCGCAGTCCAGCGCTGACTCGCAGCAGTTTAACATTTTCCCAGCGATCTTCAGTCGGCAACTAAACTTCTCATCGGGAGGGCAGACAGGCAAGCTGAGCATGGATGAACTTCGCCCAAATCTGGTAGGCGGGTTATTGGGCCTGCAGCAGGGGTTGCTCGAGGATCATGCCAGTATGCAGCATGGAGCCGTCCAGGATTCCAAATTTATGTCGTTCCAGGACCAGCGGTTAATGGGTATCGGCGGCTCCCATGAAAACCGTCTGCTCAGCCTCGCCACGTCAGTACAGGACACGCGTTCGCCCATCACAACACTGGACAAATCGTCCACGTCCTCATTAAACCACCAAAGGAAGTGCAGCAGTACGCCAGAGGACTTCAGTGCCCTATACTCTGGCCTACCCACACCTGGAATGGACTCATCCTCGCATCATCACACTCCAGCCCACACGCCACCCTCACGACTCTCCGACCACACAATATCGGGTGAGTGTTTCTGTAGGTGTCCACTAATTCCCTCCATATGTAGCCACATAATTGCCTAATGGACTTTGCCATACAATTATCGTTTAACACCCGAAACCCTATGCCTTCAGCTTTATCCTTACTTTTGCTATTGCCTATTCCTTTGTCTTTGTCCTTATACCTATGGTTAATTTTGGTTTACTGTTACCCAGCACTCTTAATCCTTTTGTTCCGGGCGTATAGCCTTAACTCACCGGTTGACTCATGGCCCACAATTTCAGATGTACATTCGGCTGACCCGTTTCGTAGTTTCGCACAGAGCTTCAGTCATACGCAGGATTAATATTGATCAAATCGATTTACTCTGTGAATTTAAGAAATGGGGAATTGTGCGAATATAAACATGCAGTCGATTGAAAAAATTGTAGACCTGGTTTACATGATTTTTAACTCAATGTTTTTGGAAGTTCCTAAGCTAAGCCCACATTTACTTACTTATGTACATATGTATGTCTCTTTTATTTAGTCCAATATCCTACAAAAGTCTCTTATGTTAAGGCCATTAAAAAAAAATCGACTATAATCATATTTAAAGTGTTTCTGCAATACCAAATACGTCGATTTAAATTGTTTAATTCTTATGTTGAATATTTCATTTGTTTATTTGTTTTAGTAATTTAATTATACCCGGTACTCGAAGAGTAAATTGTATTTGTGGGGAATAACGGTTTTATGTAACGCACAGAAGAAAACGTTTCCGACCCCATAAAGTATATATTCTTGATCAGCATCAATAGACGAGTCGATAGAGCCATGTCTGTCCGTCTTGTTTGTCGGCTAGTTCTCAGAGACTATAAGAGCTAGAGCCACCAAATTTTGCATCCAGACTGCTCTATGCTCACACTGAAACCAGTGTATTTAAAGAATTAGCCCCGCCCCCTTCCGCCCCCGCAAAAGACCGAAAACCTCACAAAGCAACAATTTTAAAGATAATTCGTAGGGAAGGACAATATCTATCAGATCACCGAATTGGTATCCGATTGGATCATTATTATAGCCAGAATGAAGAAACTAATTTGCAGTGGCCGAACCCACCCCGTCCCGCAGCATATATATTTTTTTTTTGCACATTCTCTCATTCACACTCTGCTTCGCGCAGACACCTCTGCCGCGTCTCTACCCTGACTCTGTAGACCCTCCTAGGGGAGGGTCGCGAGCTAAAGGAGCGTGTTTGCGTGAGTAGTGTTGTTGATGTAGATGTCAGATGAAGAAAAAAATTTAAAATTTGACAAATAACCGCTAAATTGCAGATGTAGTACTGAGTGCCGGGTATAAAAGTTGTGACGCGTAAGAAGCGTCTCACACGTCCCTTCTCGTTAGTTGTAAGTTTTGTTGAATGAAGTCTTTTGTGGTGTGTACACATACTCGAACGAGTAGTGGCCTGAGTAGTCCATAAGTTTTCCCTGTCATCGCACATTTAGGCGTTACGTTATATTCGTATGAAAACAAAAAAATATATAGTGAAAAACTTTAATTTAAGAAATAATATTTTCTATTTGAAATGTAATTGTCTAACTCTTTAATATAGAGTCTATATTCACCAAAAAAACAGCAGTTTGAAATTGGGAGTACGTATGTAGTTATTAAATGTAAAAACCTTTCTAGTTTTTTTGTATCGTTAAAAGAGCTGTACTCTCCGCAGACCTGTATAGTTTTGATTGTTAAAAACCAAGGAATTTCTGGTACCGTGCTACATGACCCGTGCGTTTCATTTAATTTTAAAAAATATACAAATCATATTTTTGTGAAATTATAGCAAATTTAAAAAGAGACATAAATTAACCATATTAATCGGAACTTCTCATTAATATATTGTATCAACTTTCGATGACATCTTATTTTGAATCGGTCGCCCCGAAAACCACTTGCGCATGGTCCTGTGCGAATGGCTTTGTTTTTTTGAACAAATCTCGAGAACGAATGGTTGAACGAAATCAACATTAGCACCAGTTTAAAGGTCGTCTGGAGGTGTATCATAATCGAAAAATATTAGTTTAAATCCGTGTGGTTTTGACCGATACACTATGGGTAAAAAGTCAGATTTTTTTGGCATTACTCCAAAAAATAAAGCTAGACGTCTACAAATTGGCATTATTGTTCGTTAGACTACAGTAGAATTTCGGAACCCCATACCCATACCCGGAACCCATTCTCGTCGTATTTATTATATATAAAAGATTACAACATTATAGAAATTTAAAAAATATATTTGATTGACTGATTAATAGATTGACTGGTTAAATGTAACTTGATTGGGATCGCTCCAAAGTGCAATAAGCAATAAATTGGATAATTTTATTTTAAATGGTATTATTTCATCTTTAGTTTGTCAGTTTTCGTCAATACTGGCTAAAGTACAACATTTTATTGCGTCTGCTTCACGATTGTTGTTGCTCCAGACCTCCAGCAGAGCAGCGCGAGTAAACTCATAAGCATCTGCAAAATTTAAAATATTCCGAATAGGGGAAAAACGGGCAACAGGCATTAACACCACATGATTCTTTAATAATTGGTTAATAAAATGTAACTTAAACCTTTGTGAAGTGGTGTGCTGAACAAAATTTGTATTCCACAGAACACACGTGCAATTTTTAGTACAAAGCTAAAAATATACATGGACAAAACTTTGAACAATTCAATTAGTACACACAACTATCAAAAAAACGAGAAGGGACGTGTGAGACGCTTCTTACGCGTCACAACTTTTATACCCGGCACTCAGGACTACATCTAGATGTAGAAGACATCGCCAACCACTAGATATCGTTCACATTACAGAACACGTAGTAAAAAGCCTACTAAATAAAATGCATCAAACAAATTGGATCAGTTAATATTTTCCAATATATGAGATATTTAAAACAGCAATAAAATTGGTACTTTTTCCCTGCACATTCTGTCCTATAATGACCGCTAGGTTTCACAGCAGATTTTTCGAAAGTGGCGCCATCTATGAAATTTTCTGGTACGCAACTTTCATGGTCACTCTTTTTCTAATACAGAACCTATTACATGTATGTTCTATAGCAACAAACTTCTGTCAGTATGTCGTAAATGCAACAATTCAATAGCTTAATGCTAAAAATTCATTTTACTTATATTTATATTATTTAATATTATATATATAATATATTATATATAATATAATATTTAATATACAAAATATTTATTGCTCCCGGCCATAAGCCCTTTGCGCTAATTTGGCGTAAACAGCCAACAAAACTGGTCATTGGGACAATAGTGCATCTGCACCTCAGCGGTGTTTTGTGAAGTTTTAAATTTTTTCTTCATCTGTCATCTACATCTACAACACTTCTCACACCAACACGCTCGCCGCCCTTCCCTAGACCCACATACTGCTGACTTGCGGCAAAGGCAGAGTCAGCGCCCTCACACAAAAAAAAAACAAATATAAGCTGCGGGACGGGGTGGGTTAAAAGTCGGAAGAGTCAGCGACAGGGGGAGGGCAGAGGCAGGGGCCGAGTGAAGCAGAAGCAGAGTGTGAATGAGAGAATGTAAAAAGAACAACAAAAGCTGCGGGACAGGGTAGGTTTAGCCACTGGAAATTAATTTCTCCATTGTGGCTATAATAATGATCCAATCGGATCCCAATTTGGTGATCTGATAGATATGGCCCGATATTTTTAGTTTTCTTTTATCTTCAAAATTGTAGGTGTGGTAGGTTTTCGCCCTTTTGCCGGGGCGGAGGGGGGCGTGGCCCATTTTTGAAATACACTGGTTTCAGTGTGAGCATACAGCAGTCCGGAGCCAAAATTTGGTGGCTCTAGCTCTTATAGTCTCAGAGAACGAGCCGACAAACAAGACGGACAGACAGACATGGCTCTATCGACTCGGCTATTGATGCTGATCAAGAATATATATACTTTAGGGGGTCGGAAACGCTTCCGGTTGTAACGGACAACAACAACATAAAGATATGACCCAGCCCGGGTGCGACCCCGCCACAACCGCACCGCCAACAACAATAAATAAATTAAAATAAATACGCCACCTGAAGACATCAACACCCACATATATTTATCACCCATATTAATGTAAACATTTAAATGTAGTTGGGGGAAAGGGGACCACAGCGGCGAAATGGAGATCGGCCGCTGCACTTGAAAAGGAGATTTGTTGTTGTTCTGCGTCGGAGAGATGATTGTCCGTGAAGTGTAGAGTAAAGTCCGTTGGTTTGTGTTTGAATAATCGGTTGTTGGTTCGAGATGTCCAAACAGTTGGTTTGTTGTGCGACCTGGGGGCCTGGGAAGAACCCAGCCCTGAACGGACTGGCTAGCCGGCCTTGCCCCAACATAACGGTTGTATGTAACGAACAGAAGGAAACGTTTCCGACCCCATAACGTATATATATTATTAATCAGCATCGGCTCGGCTCGATAGAGCTATGTCTGTCTGTCCGTCCGGCCTTATGAGCGCCTGGATCTCAGAGACTATGAAAGCTAGAGCCACCAATTTTTGCATCCAGACTGCTGTATGCTCACACTGTTCCGCCCCCGCAAAAGGGCGATAACGTCCCAAACCTACAATTTTGAAGATAAAAGAAAACTAAAACATTCCGTAGGGAATAACCATATCTATCAGATCACCAAATTGGGATCCGATTGAAACATTATTATAGCCATAATGAAGAAATTAGTTTGCAGTGGCTAAACCCACCCTGTCCAGCAGCTTTTGTTGTTTTTTTCACATTCTCTCATTCACACACTGCTTCTGCAGTGTGCGACCTCTGCCGCGGTTCTGCCGCTAACGTGGATCTGTAGTGGGCGGCTCTAGGGGAGGGGGGGCGAGCGAAAATAGTGTGTTGGCGTAAGAAGTTATGTAGATGTAGATGTAAATGTGTGATGTAGAAAAAATTTAAAATGTCAAATGTAAAATTCGAAAAAATACAATATGGTACAGGTACACTGACTGAGTGACGGATATAAAAGTTGTGACGCGTAAGATGCGTCTCACACGTCCCTTCTCGCTTTTTTGTTTGTTTTAAGTTTCAAACTGCCACTGAAGTAAGCATCATGGTGAAATTACTAATAGGTGACGTCGTCAACTGAGTGGAGGACCACCTGCTTATTCACCACGCTTGCTCGGCCCTCAGTGAGGCAAGCGCTAGAGAGAGATAGCAAACGTGTTACGTTCTGCACTCTTCGTTTTTATTGTTTCTGCTGACAGCAAAGTAAAGAAATAGCAAAACAAATTTTACAGACATGTTTTTTTCCAAAAAAGATTTAATTGAATAAAGATTCAATTACATTCACATTACATTACACATCCAAAAGAAAAATGTAGTTGCATGCATATTTCATTTTCTTCCGCTTGAAGAAAAAGGAAAAAGAAGAAGACAATGAAAACATAGTGCGCTACACAACGTCGACGTTTGGCAAACGACTGACAAGCTGGTGGGCCTCGAATGAGAAGGCACTGTGGTGAATCCGTCACCTTTTTAATAGTAATTTCACCATGGTAAGCATTTTAACAAAACACAGTTAATTCGTATGCCTGTGTTAGTTAAGTTCCACGCACAAACGAAATATATAGAAAATTCCCGGAAAGAATTTTTCACTGTTCTGGAGACAGGCCTTTAAAGCTAAAATGAATTAATTCGGGGTTTTCTTCTATTTTCTTAATACACTACTCGACACGATTTTGCGTGTGGGTCTAGGGAATGGGGTCGAGCTAAAGGAGCGTGTTGGTGTGAGAAGTGTTGTAGATGTAGATGACAGATGACAGATGAAGAAAAAATGTAAAATTTGACAAAAACCCCGCTAAGGTGCAGATATAGTACTGAGTATACCGGGTTTATACCGGCTATAAAAGTTGTGACGCGTAAGAAGGGTCTCACACGTACTTTCTCGTTTTTTAAGAATTTTTAGAATCTTGTTAATTTGTTAGAGGTATCACTCCTTTTTTTACGCAACGTAAGTATCTTACTTCTGGTTGTACCTAGCTATTCTATGAAGCTGATGAACGCATCTATAATTTGTACCCAAACACTTTGTGGTTTTAGCTTACCCTTTGAAAAATATTAAGCTATGAAATGCAAAAATGTTGATTTTTGTGAGGTATTTTTTACGAAATTTTGACTTCAAAAACTCTGGAAAAGTAAAAAATCATTTGTCCACTATTTGTTTATGAACAGATGCATCATTTTGGAGTCGTTTGAGGTATTGCTAGTCAAAATTTATGGAGAGACGGCTGAGCTAATTATTCAAGCTCAGTCTATCAGAAAAAGTCGGTTTGGTTCGAAGAGGAAAAAAAGGTGGATTTTGTCTAGTTGTGTCATCACTAATCCCGTGTTAGTATACTACCCTCAATATGCCCTCCTAAGCGACAGCACGCCAAATAACGGAAATGAAGATGAAAACGAAGCACTGGACATGATAACTGAAGATAGCTTAACTGAATCTGCCAAGCCGCCACCTATATTCTTATCTGAAGTCAGTGATATAAAAGGAATGCTAGTTTACCTCGAGACTACAATTAAAAAAGAGCTTTTCTTTTATAAAGTACAACGCGATGGTCATGTGAGAGTTATGGTAAAGTCTATTGAAGAATACAGGAAACTTGTTAAAACTCTTACTAAAGATTCTGTCAAATTTCACACATACCAACTTAAACATGAGAGGGCATTCAGAGTTGTTATTAAGAATTTGCACTTCTCAACGGATATCGAATTAATCAAACAAGATGTGGAGTCCAAAGGTCACGCTGTTAGAAACATTAGTAATATTAAAAGTCGTGTAACCAAAGAGCCATTGCAACGAAGATCATGCTGCTAGTTACAAAGGGTGTAAAGTCTATCAGGATCTTATATCAAAAAAAATAATAAGCGGACGCAACCACCAGAGAAACACCAAAGATGACAAAAATAAAAATGACCATGGTACATATCAATCATTTGCTCCGTCTAATAATTCGACCCAACAACCCAAAGATTACCAATCATACGCTCAAGTTGCTGCAGGAAATAGTAACTCGAACAAGTCTCTAGAAAGAATAGAACAGCTTCTAGAAAAACAATCTCAACTTACCAATAATTTACTTAACATGATAATGTTACTTGTAAATAAGCTATGCAAATAAATCTAAACTTAGGAATATGGAATGCCAATGGGCTTTCCAACCATGTAAATGAAATAGCTTTATTTTTAAAAACGAATGCCATTGACGTCATGCTTATTTCAGAAACACACTTCACTAGCAAATCTTTTTTTAAAGTTACTGGATACGACACAGTAAGAGCTGACCATCCATCAGATAGAGCTCATGGAGGTGCTGCAATTCTTGTCAAGCAGGGCCTTAAATTTCAAATCATGGACAGTACTAGGGAAAACGCTATGCAAGCTGCCACAATTCAGATAAAATGTATGCACGCAGATGTATCAATAACAGCGATTTATCTCCCACCAAGATTCACAATAAAAGAACTCGATTTCAAAAACTNATATAACGCGATTCTCAGACTAGACCACTTTCCAAGTCAATGGAAATGTGCAGAGATCGTTATGATCCTAAAACCAAACAAAATAGAAACGGAATTGACATCATACCGTCCCATTAGTCTGTTGACAATTTTCTCGAAAGTGTTTGAAAAAATACTATTGAAGAGAATGTTACCAATTTTAGACGAACTTTCCATCATTCCTGAATACCAATTCGGATTCAGGAGGGGTCACGGGACCCCTGAGCAATGTCACAGGGTTATTAATGATATAGTTTCGGCATTTGAAAACAAAAAATACTGCACTGCTGCATTTCTTGATGTTCAACAAGCGTTCGATCGAGTCTGGCACAAAGGTTTGTTGTACAAGATAAAGAAATGGCTACCTGCTCCGTACTATTTATTAATCAAATCATATCTGGCTAGAAGATGCTTTTACGTGCAGCAGAAAACCGATAGTTCATCACTACTTCTCATCAACTCAGGCGTCCCACAAGGAAGCGTATTGGGACCAATTCTCTACACCCTATATACGGCCGACATGCCAGTTACAAACAACTGCACTGTTGCAACATATGCTGATGATACAGCCGTTTTAGCCACAAGCACATCTATAAATGAAGCTTCTGAACTCCTGCAGAGTGAGCTAAGCCTAATTGAAGACTGGTTCCTTCGATGGAAAATTGGAATAAACTCCCTGAAATCCGTCCAAATAACGTTTTCATTAAGACCAGGTAACTGCCCAAATGTTACACTTAACGGCTCACCAATTCCACAAAGTACCTGTGTGAAGTATCTCGGCTTGCATCTCGACCGCAGATTAACATGGAAAAACCACATTAAAGCAAAATGTCAACAACTTAGACTTAAAACACTAAAAATGTCCTGGCTGATAAGTCGAAAATCAGAAACCACTTTGGAAAACAAAATNTAATTATACAATTTACTTATTGTTTAAAAACAGATTGTAAATATAAAGAGAGAGAAAAAAAAAAAAAAAAAAAAAAAAAAAAAAAAAAAAAAAAAAAAAAAAAAAAAAAAAAAAAAAAGTATACTACCGTATTCCTACCTACTACCGAAACCATTATTTTGCATGAAATTGGTGATTCTTTTTAGCATTCCACCGAAAAGTTTGCGCAAGCCTTCACAGAAATCTCATGCCAAGTGTTTTGGCAAAATTCATGCATTCTTGGAAATTTTATAAACGCATTTTAACCAATTCGACGCTTTATGTCTTCCCACAGGTTTTAAATTCGATTTGAGTGAGAAAACTGACTTGGCTAACTCATAGCGTTCACCTTGTTTTGTATAATCCTTTCATTGATCAGTCTTGAGTTGTCCTTTTGAAAGTCAAATTTCAATTGCATGTTTTCCTTAGCACATGGTTTTATAATGTCAGTCAATAAGTTTTAAACCCCGAATACAACCGCCTCCATTCATAAACTATTTACTCTATGTGCCGGACGTCGAATTTGTTGCCTTTGGTGAGTCGTAAATGTGTCCTGAAGTCATTACTAAAATGATTTATGTTTTTATCGTCACTCCATAAGATATTATTTTACTTTTAAGAACCTGGTTCAGACCATGCATCATGAAATTCGGAAAATGTTTGCCTCATCTAAACATTTTTTTCTAGGAGTATGGGAACTTTTTTGACTATACGTCTTGGTAAATCTGAATATTGTTGTCTACTAAGAACTATCTTAGATAATATTTTATTTTCAATTCAAGTGAAAACTGCCTTGGAAGATTTGCACCTGTAAGACTGACTTTCGGGTATCCGTTGTTTAGTGAAGATTTCTTCTTTCATTCTCAATTCAATGGCAATTTAAATAAACCATGATGCTCTTCCTAGACTTTTCTTAATTTTCTGAAGAGTTTCCCCGTTTTTTTGAAAATACATGGCACTTTTTAGACAGTACAATCCTTTTTTTGGCCTAGCTAAAGAACTTTTTTAAGTCTCATGTACTTAAATATGCAAGGAGTCATTAAAAATCAGCAATCCTTTTACCAAATCCTGTTCATGTCCTTAAAATGTTTAAAAATACATCTAGTGTACTTATTATTTTGACCAGGCCAAATAGCCCCCTCCAGAAAAAATCGAAGCTTAGAATATCTAAATAGCCCCATCCAGAACAAACTTATGCTCAGAATCTATTAAAGATGCTTAGATAATATTTAATTTTCAATTCAAGTGAAAACTGCCTTGGAAGATATGCACCTGTAAGACTGACTTTCGGGTATCCGTTGTTTAGTGAAGATTTCTTCTTTCATTCTCAACTTTAATTTGGGATTTAAATGATTTACAAAACGGCAATCTTAAAAAATATAATCAATTTTTGGCTGCAATGCATTCAAACACATTTGAGATATTTTATAAAAAATCGGCTATGTACATACTTACTTTTTGGCCAGTAGTGTAAGTATATGAGAATTCTCTACGGAACTGCGATATTTCGTATCTTCACAATTTTGGATGCCACATATTTTCGACCTCAGAGAACTAGACGGCAACCAAGAAAGACAGACATAAACTCGGCTATTGATGCTGAATACACTTACATACATACATATGTATGTATGTATATACCGGGTCGGAAACGTTTCCTTCTGACGACAACCAAGAAAGATAGACATAAACTCGGCTATTGATGCTGATCGAGAGTATATGTATTTACATACATATATACACTTACATACATACATATGTATGTATGTATATATCGGGTCGGAAACGTTTCCTTCTGTGCGTTGCATATGTTCATCCCCTTCGAGCAAAAATCTAATTTACACCTTGAACTCTTCAAATACCGGGTATAAAAATAGATCGGTAGACGAGATAGTTGAAATAAAAAACATCCCTTTTTTAGGAGGTAATATTTAAAGATCTTGTTTTGGTAGCTTTTCACATAAAAGCTCATGAAATGATATGTTCATCTAAAGTAACTTTTCGGTGGACTATTACTTGGGGATCCACTTTTATAAAATTAATATCTTTATTCTGTCAGGCAGACATTTAGGCAACCACAATTTTTTTGGGTTTTTTATTGGTACTTCTGTTTTGTCCTATCACACCCCATGCAACAAAATTGAATTCTTCTTTTACTCTTCAAATTTCAAAAATACTCTTGAAACAGATTTTTATACCCGGTACTCGAAGAGTAAATAGTGTATATTGTATTTGTGCGAATAACGGTTGTATGTAACGCGCAGAAGGAAACGTTTCCGACCCCATAAAGTATATATATTCTTGATCAGCATCAATAGCCGAGTCTATGTCTGTCTGTCTGTCTGTCCGTCCGTCTTTTTGAGCGCCTGGATCTCAGAGACTATAAAAGCTAGAGCCAATAGAAACCAAATTTTGCATCCAGACTTCCGTATGCTCACACTGTTACAAGTGTATTTAAAAAATTAGCCCCGCCCCCTTCCGCCACCGCAAAAGGGCGAAAACCTACAAAAGCTACAATTTTGAAGATAAAAGAAAACTAAAAACGCCATTCTGTAGGGAATGGCCATATCTATCAGATCACAAAATTGGGATCATTATTATTTGGATTGGATTGGATCATTATTATGGCCACAATGAAGAAATTAATTTGCAGTGGCTACACCCACCCTGTCCCGACTGACCCATGACTGCAGTGTGTTGCTCTAGGGAAGAGTGGCGCGCTAAAGTAGCGTGTTGGCGTGAGAAGTGTTGTAGATGTAGATGACAGATGAAAAATAACGATAAGGTACAGATGTAGTACTGAGTGCCGGGTATAAAAGTTGTGACGCTTAAGAAGCGTCTTACACCTCCCTTCTCGTTTCTGTTATTTTCGGGTCTGGAAAGAATTACATTAACTGTAAAAGAATGAATTTTTATAACCGGTACTCGAAGAGTAAATGGGTTTAATTGTATTAGTAGGAAAAAATGTAACACACAGAAGGAAGCGTTTCCGACCCCACAAAGTATATACATATATTCTTGATCAGCATCAATAGCCGATTCTATATAGCCATGTCTGTCTGTCCATCCGTCCCTATGAGCGCCTGGTACTTTTTTTTTACTATGTGTCTGAACGTTGATATGCAATGACTGCACCATCAAGTGGCCCATGCGACACCAAGCCAAAGCCTGTTACGCGCGGAACCCAACAGAACGCAGCCCTCCTCCCGCCCAACCGACCGAGGGAAAGATAGATGTTAGGCTAATATTCGAGGAAAATTTGAGCTAAACACAACTAGACTAGAGCTACTATAGCTAAGCAAGCAAAAATTACCAAAATCAGAAACAAGACAAAACTAAAATGAAACTAACTACGGAAGAGGTAGGCTAGTATAAGAGATTTAAGAAGAGGAAGGGAGTTAGTTGAGGATATAATGTGGTAGAGGGAATTAAAATCCGAGCATAAAACCCTAATGGGTTCGTGTGAGGCATAATTCGATCTACATAGTGGAAGGAACAAAGGAATATAGTTTCTAGTGGGTCTAATGGGAATGGTAAAGTTTATGCGGCTCAACAATTCAGGGCTGTCTACATCCCCCTTGATCAAGTTGTGCATAAAAATTACACCAAGAATTTTTCTACGACTAACTAAGGATGGAAGGTTTATTAGAAGGAGTTTACTACGGTAGGATGGCAGTCTCACAGTTGCATCCAAGTTGAGGCCCCGTAGGGCAAATAATAAAAAGTTTTTCTGTACTGATTCAATACGGTCCTGATGTATGTTGTACTGGGGGCACCATACACATGAGTCGTATTCTAAAATCGGACGAACAAGCGAGATATAGAGAGTCTTCGTTATATAGGGGTCATCAAATTCCTTTGACCACCTCTTCATAAACCCAAGCACACCCATGGCTTTATTTACCATGGTAGAAATGTGTTCAGAAAACTTTAACTTGGGGTCTAGTTTAACACCTAGATCATCAACCAATGTAATTATCTCAAGAGAACTACCGCAGAGGGTGTTTCCTCGGTCCTTCCCCGACCTCGCTATTTTTCAGTAATGTAACGTGAAGCTCCGTAATTCAACATTGTATAAACGTGTCGTGGTACTGACTTTCGATAACTCTAGTCTAACGTTCGCTCTCACTTTACTTTACAGGAATATGACCTGTGTCTCAAATTGTAGTAGGCGTATCATAAGTACTCGAGAATTTGTTAATACGAAGGCAGGTAATTAATAAACAGTGTGAAAAGTAAGGGGCCTAAATGGCTACCCTGTGGTACTCCAGAAGTAACCATAACCGATAAAGATAGGGAGTTTTTGAAAAGAAAACTGAACACAGGTAGCCAGAAATCCATCTCAACAGATTGGGCGGAAACCCTAGAAGGTCGAGCTTTTGTGCAAGAAGAGAATGGTTTACAGAATCGAATGCCTTTCTGAAGTCAGTGTAAATAAAATCTGTATGCAAGTTACCTTGGAATCCTTTAATGACAAAGGAGGTCTCATCGACCATATGAGAGAGGGCAACCAAGTTTTACATCCAGATTTCTGTAAGCTCACACTGATACAAGTGAAAGTATTTCAATATCGTCCCGTCACCTTCCGCCCCCGCAAAGTGCGAAATCTGATGAATCCAACATTTTAAAGATAAGAGAAAACTAGAAACTAGAGAATGACCCTATCTATCAGATTACCGAATTGGGACAATTTCAATTAATATGCAGTGGCTACCCCCACCCCGTCCAGCAGCTTTGTTTATTTTTTGTTCACATTCTCTCATTCGACAATACTTCGTGCAGCGTGCTGCTTTAGGGGACGGGTGAGCTAAAAGATCGTCTTGGCGTGAGAAATTATGTAGATGTAGATGACATACAAAAGTAGACAAAATTTAAAGTGTAAAATCGAAAAAAACCATTATAGGGCAGATCTGTACTGAGTACCGGGTATAAAAGTTGTGAAGCGTAAGAAGCGTCTCACACGTCCCTCCTCATTTGAAAGTTGGTTATTGCGGACCATGGTGAAATTACTAGTAGGTGACGTTGTCACCACAGTGCTCCTCATTCGAGGAATACCAGCTTCTCAGTCGTTTGCCAAACGTTGACGAAAGAGGTTGTGCAGAGCACGATTTTTTCATTGTCTTCTTCTTCTTTTTCTTCATTGTTTACGAATGAAGACGTAGCGGAAGACAATGAAATATGCATGCAACTACTATTTTATTTTGGATGTTTTATTTTTATTTTTAGAAATAAACATGTCTGCAGCATATTGTTTGCTATGCCTATGTTATTAATTGTTTTGAGCTATTTCGTTTTATTTATTATTGAACATCTTTTCTTTGCTATCATCAGAAAACGTTTGCTATCTCTCTCTAGAGCTTGCCTCTCTGAGAGCTGAGAGAGCGTGGTGAATAAGCTGGTGATCCTCCACTCAGCTGATGACGTTACCTATCAGTAATTCCACCATGTTGCGGACAACGCTGTACATACAGTGGGGAGCAATGATGAGTACATGTTCACAATAACTGACTTTCGTCGCCCATAACTTCTAAACGCATAATGCAAACGTAACCAATTTGTTTGTAGATATAAATCACTTTATCCTTAACAAATAGTCAATCCCAGAAAAATACAAATGTGAAGCTTTTAAATAGCTAAAAAAAAAACGAAAAAAACTCTCATGTACTTATTTATGCACTTTTCGTTATTTTATATTTATACATTTTCTAATCAACAATATGCTCACGGAATTGACGGTAAATATATTTTTTTTATATTATAGTAATATTAACATCAAAATAAGACATTTCTCATGATAATCGATGCAGATTTCATGAATTTATTAAATAGTGCCTATGTTGTACCTGAGACAGAAGATACAATATCTAGAAAATTTAAATACTATTGTGTAGCAGCTCACTGAAAATGACCATACGACAGCTAAAACTGCTGAAAAACATGGCATTAGTCAATCGGTGGTGATCAGAGTGGAAAAGACGCGAAATGTTGGCCCGAAACAGCAAAGCCAAGGTCGCCCTAAGGCGCTAGCAGGCCCAAAAGCCACACCTATAATGTCGCAAATTTGTAACAAAGACTTTCTAAGTCCAAAGGATGCTCTTTTCGCATAAACCTATCAATGTTGGTCTTTATGGACTATTGGGGATTGCCTCTTTGTTACATACATACGCATGTACATATACATACATATACATACATAAATGACTAACATCATTAATGTTTATATTATAAATTAGGTTTAAGTTAAATACTTACATGCATATGTATGTATGTAGTTCCAAAACTGTGAATACTCACTTTCATAAAACCTGTCATAATAACGATCATTTTGCACATTGTAAAATTCATCATTAATTTAAAATGTTGGCTCATTCCTCGCTATTTTATTTCATTCATTGTGCACGGTCTCCAGGACAACTTAATCACCGATTCATGATAAATTTCTTGTGATCGTCCTGGCGAACACACATATTTAACGTTTTTGATGCAAGAATTCAAAGATCGGATGAAAGAAATTGATCGTGAAAAAAGTACGAGCAATTGAACTCCTGTCCGATCCATTGCTTTTGAGTCATATCGATAGCTCGATATATTGACAAAAGACAAAAAGAAATGTTTAAATTTGATATGACTACCGGCACGTGTTTACTAGGCCTCGAAACCCGATCGATGGAATGGATCGTGAACATGTGATCAAGTTGTCCTAGTGAACGCGCCCATTTACACGTTTCTGCCATCGATAGATGACTTTTATCTATGATGAAAGGAATGCATGTTCATATGTAATATGTATAATACTAATAACTGTAGCGTTAGGAATATTTACATACATATATGAAATAAACAACCAAAGAAACAAACAGGTGCACATGTATGTATGTACATATTTATTTATCTGTTACATTTCAAATTGAGGTTCGTTTCTCGTTGGAAAGCGATAAATGTACCATGTACCCCAATAGAGGAAATATACAAATTATGCAAATGCGGACATTTTTACGAAATTTTGACTTTAAAAACTCAGGAAAAGTCGAAAAAAAGTAAATCCAGTGTCCTTTATTTGTTTTGCATTATCTGGAACATATAAAGGTATTCAAAGATTGGTTCGATGTATCGGCGGAGATCATATGTGAATTAATTAGTGAGACGACATTCAAAATGTTCTACGTAGTTTACACCTTGTTAACGAGCTAAGCGAGCCCATTAAACGCCAATAGCAACAGGTCCGGGTCTACGTCATCGGTGTTCGGTCCAGTGGCCGGAGTCCTGTGACCCTACTATGACCTTTGCATGTTATTTACCGCCTTTTTGGTCATGGCATACGGAAGGCAACCGACATCAACAGAAGAAGCCCTCAGATCTAGGCAGTCGGAGTCCTGGGAGCTGGCACCCAGGCGTTCTACCTATATTAATGTGCTAGACATTTGCATAAATTATCCCACATTGCATATTCATGCGACCGTCATCATCGACGCTAGTGTCAACGTCAACGTGAACGACGTGACCCAAGCTCAAAACTTTGCACCTTTTTTCCTTTTCCGTAGTCAACCAGATACGACAGCGTCAGCATCTTGTGGCCGCAGCGCGGTTGCTGTTGTCTTTGGCAATTATGAAACATTTTTGGGTCAGAGGTCAGGGTCAGAGGTCAGGGGTCAGGAGTCAGATGGAGCTACTGGCCACCGCGCTGAGGTTAAACTTTTATGCATATTAAACTAATTTCGTTTCCGACCACCGTTTTTGGCCACCGGATTAGGATTCTAAATGTAGTTGACATTTTATAACATTAATTTACGCGCTCTCCTTTACGTGTGTGCTATTTTTCGCAGCGGAAGGTGCATTCAAGAAGCTTAAGCCGGAACCCAACAACGGGCTCTCAACAGTTTCCGCCGGCATTACTTCTCCCGGAACCGGATTATCAACGCTGAGTCAGCACGTTGGCCACACTCCAACCACAGCATCCTGCCCTACGCCAGCCAGGCGGAGACATCGAACCACATTCACACAGGTCAGAATTCATGGAACCCTTTTCACTCTGCCCCATCTTCCTTTCCATCCTACCTAAATTATACGTTTAATTCGATTTTGTTAGGTTACTCTTGTAGTTAAGACTTAAACTCTTCAGAAATACAAACAACATTAAAACGAATGTTCAGGTTTGAATAACTCAATCCTGTTTTTCCTGTTAATGTAGCTGATTATCGCTTATATGTACATACATACATATATGTACATATACTACTAGGGAAAGCTACTATGTATATACATACATATGAACATACGTAAGAAGAAAAATATATTTTTTTTCATTCTGTGTTAAACATTTAGACTCAAAATATGTTTGAAAATAAGCTCGCTCACTTAGCCACAAAATACAAGTACTTTTTACAAGAAACTCAGATTTACAGTGGAAGACCGAACTGCACTGAAGAAGAGGTTAAACATATATGTATATGTATGTATGTATATGTACTCGTATATCTCTAGACATATCTAACTAGAAATACATATGGATATGGAATTAAGCCAGTACACTTTTAGTGTAATTGCATCTGTAAGCCATACTCAAATACCCTTTCGCTTGCTTATCCAAAATGTTGCTAGTTGGACTAACAACGTAGATTAGACTAGTCTAGCGACAGTACCAATTAAATACAAAAAAGTAAAAAACTAGTTTATGGCGCTACCTGAGCTCAAATTCGAACAATTCAATTTACCCTTTTTGAAGCGCAATCGATAAAAAAAAAAGTTTTTTATTAAAAAAAAAAAGATATTTTGTAACATAGTGAAACCCATAGGGAAAATATGGGAAACTTTAGAATGCGGTGAATAGTGCACCTGCCCAAGAAATGTAGACCCGAATATGGTCGATATGCTTACATACATATGTACATGCACTGGAAGCGATATAGCTAGGCTAAGAGCTTGGCAATCCAATTAGGCTTGGGAGCAGCAGTAGATTTGATCGAACCTCAAAAAACCAAACCGACTTTTTCTGATAGATTTTGGTCATTGAACATTTTTTAAATATGATAAATTAAATTTTTATTAATAATTAACAAAAAAACGTTTTTTTGTATGCTTTTTTTAGATGTAGCGGTCCTTTTTTAACAAAGCTTAAGTATCTCACATATGGGTTCAAAGAACGTTATTATTCAGACAAGCTAATTGATGCAAATTAATATAAATTGAATCCAAACACTTTGTGGGAAAACAGTTCTGCCGTAGAAAAAATTAATATCATCTTACAATTTTTAAGCCCCAAAACTTTCAGAAAAATTGGGTTGGTTCCTTGAGGAAAAATCGTGTCGGGTAGCGTAATTTAGCTCCGTTGGCAAATTGAACTTTATACCCCATTAGCAAAAGGGTATAATTCGCATTCTCCTGCCGTTGCTTGAAAGCTTTTAAAAGCTTACCGAATAAAAATGGAGTTATCGAAAACAGTTATCTAAAATGTAAATCCTGATCACCACTCACCATCATTGACCAACCATTTATCGTTCTCGAAGTGAAAGGAATGCGAAACAAAAAAGAGCTTAAAGAAGCGTGGAAGAAATCCAATAAACACAAGTTATATCGAAACAATATCAGCTAGAACTGCACAACAAATGAGCCTAATTAAAAGCTTACTTTCAGGAACAATTAGCGGAACTGGAAGCAGCATTCGCCAAATCGCATTATCCGGACATTTACTGTCGCGAGGAGCTCGCGCGTACCACAAAGCTGAACGAGGCTCGGATTCAAGTGAGTAGTACCCTGAAATCAGCAATAACAGGTTCACCGTCTCTCCTTGAATGAAGCTAATTACTTATATTTCAACAGTTGTTGCTTTGAGAATTATAATTCGAATCGAAATCTGAAATAGAATCGGATTGAGAATTGTGCCCCAATGAAGATGATTATGAGGCTGATCTTAGTGTGCGATTATTCCAACTGACTGATTTCGGCCCACGCCTGGTGTTGCTCTTAAGTGCTTGTCCAAAACCCCTGGGGTTCTCAGCAACTTGCTCAGGACCTCCCCCTGTTTCAATCGGCTTGATTTGGTTTGGTTCGTTGCCTGCCCCTCTTCTGCTTGTCTTTCAAGTGCGCCGCGCCAATAATTAATTTATAGTTTATCAAGACTGCGAAATAAGTGAGTGCGGGGGGTGGCTACCAGTGATAAAGGGGTGGGTTCGTCCGGGGAATTTAAGTGTAGGGTATGAAGATTTTTGTTCATCGTCTCAAATTTATATGGATGTTTTTGTACTTAAATATCTCAAACTATCCACAGATTGTGGATCACAGATCCTCACAGAAGTGAGGCAAAACTTGGTTGCTTTAGCTCTTATGGTCTCTGAGAACTAGTCTCTCAGTTATAGTAAGTCAGTTTGTTATATCGACTGGGCTATTGCTACTCGTCAAGGATATATGTAAATATACATATGCTTTGTTTTATGGATGAATTAAAATGGATGAATTCAAAAAGCGTCGACTTTAAACTTACATATGTTTTCAAAATATATTAATATATATTAATGAATATTCTACCAAAAATATCGAGTCTTACGACAACTGTAAAAAAGCTGATTACAAATATATATACATATGCACCCTGGAATCTTAATCTACATCATTGTCCGTTGCCGCTACCCTTACCCCT